ATAGATTGCATAGCAGATTTCTCAATGAACATGACATGATACAGTGAATAGTTACCCTTCTACGGTTCCACTTTGGGATGAACTGGGAGGCCTTTCCGGCTTGATTTGAATAAGAAATAGTCACAGATCAATGCTTATCTCTCTTTAATGACTAACTAGGTACAATGGCACAGTTGAGAAAATGGAGGAAGTTTTATGCGAAGGTCCTATTATGCGTTCCCAAGAAAACTCAGGTCTCCTCTCTTCTTCTGTTGGCCTTGTTATTTCCTTCGCTTATAACTAAAATCACCAGAAACAGAATCTAGAAACAACATTAACAATCACATCTATATAATTTTAGTGTTTGATTCTCTCTAAATAATTTTGAAACAAGTATTTCTTTCGATAGAGTGTGAAGAGAAGGTTTTTAGTTGGCGTCCTCCATAGAAAAGAGATACGTTGATCAATCACAACTCCACACAAACCAGTTTTTTTGTTACTTCCTTTTGCAGTAAACGTTATTCCATCAGCATCTCCACAGTGTCAGCACCAAAACGCAGACTGTGGTTTGATGCAGGACGATGATCATCAACTGGATTCTGCTCAGTATCTGAAGCAGAACATTGTCAGTGGCCACTGGCAGAGTACCGATAACCACAAACACTTTGAGACCGAGGCAAGTGAAACTGCTTGTTTCTTTGTTCCTTGCTTACAATCGCTGATAGAAGTGAAGGGAAAAAAATGAAAATATTATCTCCATGTTTAAAGCAATTCCCTAGAATCAACTTGCTCATAATATCGGTCATCAGCTAGTGTACAGTCTTACATTTTGCACTAAGATTCCTATAAAAATCCTAAAGTAATTTCAAACTTTAAACCATAAGTAAATATAATGGTCAGTGTTTTGCAGGAAAAGTGCAAAGAGTTGATGAACCAGCCTGATTCAGAGTGTTCAACGAATCGCATNTAAAAGTAAAGTGTCTAATTACGATGTGTGATTGTTATCACTTAAAACTTATGTCGTCCTTTTGACCTTATAAAATGCTTCACTGTTTGCAGGAGGAGCTAAAGGACCGATGAAATTGATTCTGTAAACTTTACCGGTAATACCTATTCGCCTTTGGCTTGTTTATGTTCATAATTGTGCTAAGTCTCTCTAGTATGCTAGTGATTTTTTTTCTTTTCGTTTTGGTTTATAATAATTATAAAAAGTTGCTAACAGTTGTAGATTCATTTAGAAGAAAAAAACATACACTAAATGCAAATGCAAACAAACAATATAGAGACATGAATACTTGCATTTTAAGTAATGTTACAAAGACTTGTGTATATGTTTATTAGACGTCAAATTCTGGCCAAGATATTTATAAGAGATTGGATCAGTGGAATATTATAGTTTTGCTTTCGCTATCACCCCTGGAAATTATTGACCACATATGTGCGATACTTATCAAGCTTGAAGAAAGTTGGTTTGGTGGGGACTTGGTCATATAAACGACAAGAACGTGAGTTTTCTTCTTTCGTACGCGATGAATTAGACGTAGACGTAGACATAGACAACATTTTTATAGAGATCGAAATTCACCATACTTATCTCAATTTTTCTTATAAGAAGCTGTTCCCTTCCAATACAATCCATTTTTTTATTATCATGGATTAGATATCTAGATTGACCTGTTCATGTNAAAAAAAAAAAAAATTTGGTCCACCATCCGATTTCATCGTTGGATCCAACTATCCAACATTTATCATTTTATGTATGTATATGTAAATAAATTATATGTCATTCTTAACCTCGTACAATCTTTTCGGTCAGAGGATCATAACATTTGTATATATCTAAATTATATAAATCATTCGGTAAGACTTGAAATCGTAATCGTCGAGTTTGGTAAAACCTCCACACTCGTATCCATTATTTTTACATTGATCAAGCCATAAATCAGAGTCATAACGCCTTCACAGTCTTGCTATAAAAGATCAGATGTTCAATACAACGTAGATTCATTATAATTAAAAAGTTACCTCTTCATTTTATTTTGAAACATGTGGTTAGCAATCTCATCTATTTGTACTATTTGCAGTATATGAGAAGCGGATAAACTTTTCTAAATTCCCTCTATATTTATTCGTAAGTCTAATTGACAATCACTTGAAATTGTTGGATTGAATTG